CATGCTATTTGTGAAGACAAATACAGTGCTAAATCACTTTGGCCCTCTTTTTCTTTTTGAAGCATTTTCCACTAAGCAGAACCCCCCACAGGGAGAGAAAGGAGCTGGAGGCCTCCCGGGAGCACAGTGATGCCCCAGCCCTGGCTCTCAGCTGCACCTCTGGGGCTGGGGAGGAGGACACCCACAACCCTGCTGGTTGTCCAAGAGCCTCTCAAGGACAAGCCCAAAAGGGTCCACGTAGATTGGGTTTAGGTCCTTAGTGAACCTCCTGGCACCAATCTGCGAAGGCAGAGAGCACCAGCTTCTTTCCACCCCCGGGTTTCTCATCTGCATCTATGTAAGCCACAAGCCTGAGGCTTCCTGGGCCAGTGCATCCCATAGTGTTAACTAACACCATTGAAGGGCCACACTGGGACAGGCTGGACACATTGCTTGCAGCTGGCAGAGCTGTTGCTCCTGACTGTGCCCTCAGCAAAGTAGTTTCTTCATGTACTGTGTGTTTCTTTAAGTCTCCACAGTTGGAGGAACAGCATCAACACAGGAGTTACCATGCTACTCTTTCTAAATGGCCGTCTGTATTCATACCCTTTCCTGGGATTATACATATATAATATGTATTTTATACATATATATTATTCCTGGGATCACACTTTCCATAAGGTCTGTCACTGCATTGCAGTTCTTCCTCACCAGATGCTCTAGCAAATGTATGCAGGCATGGGGATTAATGGATTCACTGGGACAGATGGATAACTTTTGATGGTTAAAATCCATTACCAAAAGAGGGAAAGCTGATCTATTGATCTCCTCTAGAGAGGAGTGAGGACTAAAACTACAATCTAGACCATTTGTAGGGGTTTTTTTGTCTGCACCTCCCTGTCTCTGACTGCCCTGGGCTGTAGGAGCTGCTCTGCCTGCAGCTGCCAAAGTCTAGGAGGAGATCAGGACAACCTCTTTCCACAACACCAAACCTTGAATCGTGCTGTTGAAAAATACAGTTGGTTATTGTGGTTGCTATTGCATTTCACTGATACTGTCATTTAGAGGCTTGTCTTGCGCCTACTGAAGGGAAAAGGCAAACTCTGCCAGCCTTCTGGGAGCCCCCATGCTCTTCCAAGTTCTCTTTGAGATTGCTTTTTTTTTTTCTTTTTTTCCCAGGAGATATTAGCCTGTGTTATTACAAATTCACTACATCTATCTTGTTATCTTCATTTCAGTATTTCTGTCCTTTTTAAAGATCCCTTTACAAATATTGTTTGCACCATCTTGATAGTAGCTTTCAATTCAGAGCAACAATGTGACTTCTTAATGAAATGTGTGCGTCTGTCTATTCTTGGATAATATTCATAACGAGCCCCAAATGGCACCAAGAGAAAGAGTGAAGAATCTGAAGAGAAGCAGCAAAAATAAAAGATGAAAAGCAAAATTGTAAGAAATAATTGCACTGCTCTGTTCACACAATTAAGAAGCATATCAGAGGAAAACAGTTAAATTAGCTTACTGAGTGCTTACAGGAGTTTTAAAGCTCTACTGTCAGTTCAATTTAAAAAAATACCCTAACAACAGCACACTGGTTTCTAAAGCAGATGACATTCTCCAGCAGCCTGAGATGGTCTCTGTGACACTGACAGCCTCTTCCTCTCCTTGTCCTTTGGAGCATTATAGCCTACCCAGGATGATTTCAGACTGTCAGGGCTCAAACACAGCTGTTCCTTTTCTGGAAACCAAACAGCCCAGCCTTCCACTTTCTATGGCAACAACAGTGAGCCCTTCGCAATCTGACCTGCCAAGGAAAACCTGCTGTTAATTAAATGTTAATTGCCTTAATGCAGTCTGCATTATGTGGAAAAATGCAAGTTATTTTAATCTGTATTTTAAAGGAAACATCTGAGGCTTAAAATGCCAGGCAGTGGCACCTTATAAATCAACAGATATACATTGCTCTCGCCCCTTTGGTGGTAGAAGAGACTCCTATGAGTTTAATAGACACATTGTTCTATTATTTTGCAAGACATTCAGGTAGCAACTGTTTCAGGCAATTTAATTTGATTTCTATGAAAACCATAAATTCAGCATTAATAGCCAATTTTACATTATATTAAGATTTACTGACATGTTTTATTATATCAATTATTTATTTTGATTTTAAAATACATCAGAAGTCAGTTCCTTTCTAATTTCAGCAGAGAGAGTGTGTGATTTGATCGAAGGATCCTGATGGCTGGATACACATGAACACCTTTGTGCTGCCCATTCTGGGGTGGGCAGATGCTCATGCAGCCATCCTCAGAGTGACCATGCCACATGTGAATCTCTGCCAGCAACCCCAAGGAAATAGGATAGCCTGCTTGCAACTCCAAGGGTTTCTCTAGAACAACCAGCCTCCCTCTTGCAACCTGCTGCTTAAACAACTCACCTTCTCTTAAACTACTTCACACCTGGGCAAAGAGACCTCATTATGGCAGCCAGGTAATTACTTGCAGTTTTTCTGTTGGCTTGGCCCAAGCTCTGCAGAACCTTTCTACCCCTGAGACAGGAGTGATGGGCAAAGGAGAGAGGAAGGAAGGAGAGAGGAAGGGAGGAAGGAAGGAGAGAGGAAGGAAAGGGGGGGAGAGAGAGAGAAAAAAAGAAAGAAAAAGCACAAGATCCTCTTTGGGGTGACACAAGAACAACCTCTCCCTACCTGCTTGCACTGACCAAAATTCAGTTTAATGGCTAATAGAGTCTTGGCACTATCAACCAGCTTTTAGAGCTGGGAAATGAGCAATGGCCCACTCCAGTCCCTGCGCTGTCCCCACTTGCAGGGTAGATGTGGCTCCTTGGGTCTCCATAGGAGGAAGCCAAGACCCACCATGAGCCATGGGCACAGAGGTCAGAAAGGTTCCTGGCTGAGCTTGGCTGAGTCTATTATGTTGTGTTTCCTTCAGACTGACTTTATTATTGTATTTTACCTTACATGGACTGCTGCAAATGCTGTGATGGTTTGTGCAGGACTCAGCCTCAGAGCGCTTTGAAGATGTCAGAATTTGCTAAAGGAGCTATTTTCTCTGTGTTTGCCATGTGTTCTTTTCTTGCCTTGATGCCAGCCATGGTGATAATCTGCAACTAATTTCTGAGATTTCACTGAAGACTGGCTTGAGCTGTACTGCAACATCCCTTCCGCTCTCTTTCTTTATAGCAATGCCAACAATAAAACAAAAAAAAAAAAAAAAGAGAAGAAGAAGAAAAAATAATATGGTTTATTCCCCTTCGCATTTAGTTGAGTTGAAAAGTGGTGTAGGTGAAATGAGGTACCCCACAACTGGTGCTTGGGTAAAACCACTGATCATGTACCTACAGTGCCCAAACTGTCTTTTAGGAAGAATAATTTGAGCAGGGCGTAACAGCGCCAGCCACAAATGTGTAATTCTCTCCTTTCCTCTTTCACTTCTCTTCAATTTGCAGAGGCAAAACACCAAAGTTGGATAACAGTAATGAGGGGTCAGCTTCTTTGCTGGTGCAAGCCAGTGTATCACACCAAAGCTGATGAAGTTCCACCAGTTTACACGGGCAGCAAATGTTACTTAAAATAAGCTGCATCCATGCTGCAGTGGTCTCACGGGAATATGGGAATACTGCTTCTGAGATTTGAGACAAAACTATTTATAGGTTCAGAATTTAACCCCCTAGAAAGGAAGCTACCAGAGGGAAGAACTCGCTGGAGGCAAGTGCTGTCAGGGAAGCAACGGCACTGCCAGTGCAGTTCAGGCTTCCCTCTAAACACAGAGCTGGCATCCGTGGGCACGATTCCCCAGAAACTTGCCCGTCCCTTGACAACATCTGGATTTGATCCCCAATGTTTACAAAGCTGGGGAGTGTCTGAGTGGTTTTAGACTGTTATGTGCATTATTTCTTCTCATTTTAAAGCTGCCCATGTAGAGAAAAATACAGGACTTCAGTAACAGTTACCAGCATGATTTGCTTTTATTACCTTTCTGTTCAAGACCCTTGTTTCCCCTTGTAGCATGTCAAATTGCCCCCAAAACCATATTATACAGCAGAGAAATGTCGTTCACACTTCACTGGCTATTGATTTACTTTATTTATTGGCACAAAATCAGCCTGAGATAAACATTTTGTCCCCCATTTCCACTATTGTAAGCTACGTAGTTCACTGCAAGATAGGCAAACCCCAATGTGCTGGGTCACAATTCGACATGGCTTTCTAATCAATGTGTGAAAAATTACCTAATGAATAATGGGTTGCACATTTCCACAAACAAATTAACCAGGGTGAGACTGAAACTAATGATTATATTTATCTAATGTAATTTCACATCTGTTACTAGTGCTAGTAATTTTTTTTTTCTTCTTTCCATGGCGTCCTTAGAATTACAACCCAGCTTTTGAGAGACAGACATTTTACATCCACTTAAACAGATAATGTTCAGATTTATTAGGTACATACTTTTAGAACCACAAGATAGTTGGGGAGCACATTATTATTTTGCAGTACTTTGTGGGAGTTGAACCGCTTTTTGAAACACCGTGTGGTTCTCATACAGGAGCCGGGGTGCTCAGACTCACAGCATCTCCCATGCAAGGAACAGAAAAAGTTATTTTTTTTCCCCCAATGTACAACCAGTTGAGATACACCCTGATAATTTTTGCTGGAGTTAGGCTAATGTCATTCGCAGATGAAAAAGCACAACAGTGGGAAGGAACCTTGCGGGCTCATTCTTTATCTCCTCCTTAAAGTAGATTTGTGTCTTCCTGGTGAAATGATCAGTTTTGTAAAACAATTGTTCCCAGAGTCCAGCTGCCGACTCTGCACGGGTTCAGCAAGCGTCCGTGGCCTGATGTGGCTGTTGCTTCTCAGAATAGAGAAAGTAATTGGCTCTGCGGGTCTTACTTTCCACTAGATGTTTTTATTTTCCAGGCACGTTAAAATGTTTTGCTTGGGCTGTCGAGAGCAGCTTGGGCACCCTCCCCAGTCTCCAAAATATGAGGCATCAACTCACCTGTCTCCGTCCCTCTCCTAAGAGAAGTGTTTCAAAGAAGGGCTTGTAAGGTGGGCCGCCAGGGAAGGAGAAAGAGGGCAAGGTGGGGGTTTTCTCCCCCTGAAGCTGACTCACCTCAATCTCCATGGGGGATATAGAGCCCCCGTGGCTGCAAATGCCTTTCTTCCTGCGGCTGGGGGCTGAATCTGCTCTATCACATCCAGCAGCTCACAGTTGTCTTTAAAGATGTTGCAAGAAAACCAAAAGTCTCCAAATTATGTCACTACTTGAGTCAACATTATTAAACAATTTCACAACCTGTCTCAGTCGTGGTGGCAGCTTTCATAAGGATTTATTATCCAGAGACAGAAGAAGGGAGGGGGCTGAGAGTGCACAGAGGTTTGAAAGTCATTGTACCGAGAGTTTAATTATTGTATTTTTCACTGAAGTTGAAAGTATTGAGGAAAATCCAGCCAATTTCATATTACCTCATTTGATTAAAGAAGTTGTATGATTGTTCAGAATCTGTAATTGCCATTCAGCACAGCTGAGCTGAAAAAAAGCTTTTTGACTTCTCATCCTTAATACTTGGCGATATTTAGTAGCCTCATTGGATTAGCCAAACAAAACTTAGCAAATGACACCACCTTTATTCTGAAGACATTCTGATGATTGATTCAGCTTAAAATTACTCGATGTGTATTTCTGTTGGGGGGTGGGAGTGGTGGTTTATTTTTACTAGTACACATTTTTCTTGTCAGCATTAGGAAAAGTCCTCTATACAGCCATGTCAGATACGGGACAATATGTAACTTCACGGGCGAGATTCTCAAACTGCAGGACATAAAGCAGGACATAATATCATGTTTGTTACATGGAGCAAGACAGGCAGATATCCAGCAGTTGTGTGCCTCATAAGCCTACAGTACCAGTTTGTATTTGGCTTCTTTGTTGAGAAGGGAGACTCTAAATGTGTACCACTACTTTTTTTTTTTTTTTGATTGCAGATAGCCTTCATGTCCTTTCAGCACTGGTTCCAGAAATAAATGACCTTGTTCTACTGAGAAGCTTGTGGAACAGCTGAGGAACATTCTGTCTGGGTCAGTCATAAACTGGTTACAAAGCAGACCTCTGGATCTCTTGTTTTGGAGACTTCTTGTTTCCCAGATTGTGGAAGGCATGGTCCACATACTACTAGCACATGGAGAAGCAGATGCTTCCGCCTCTCAGCCAGCCTGGAAATGGTTGAGCTGCTCCCTTCTGTGGTGGCATCTTCTGCAGCAGCTTGTTAACTCCCATCTGTGCCATGAACAACCCTGGTGTCACACCTGAAGAGGAGTGTTTCTGACCTCCAGGGTGCAAATGGGATGGGCTAACACCTGATGTGTTCATTCCAGCTGGAGTCAGCTCATGGAAATAGAGATACGTGCTGCTGCTGGGAGAGACAGGGACACATCGGTGCCAGCCGCACCTCTCTGCGCTGGGGCGGCTGAGCAGCTTGGCAGCCACCTTCAGGGGTTTTGAAACATGGGGTGGTTCAGGGCTAACTTTGCTGGAGTTCTGGGGTACATGAGACAGAAGTTGGAAAACAGGATGAAAATAGCAAGCAACATCCTAGAGGTCTGCTCTCGTATGGCCAAGCTGCCCTGAACACTTGATTGCCTACATGTAACATTCTTCCTAAAACATCTTTTCTTCCCTACCCCAAGCATGATGGCTGTAGCATGTCCTGGGCTGCCACAGCCTGCAGAGGCCACCCAGCAGGAGGGCCCCGACAAGGCACTGCAAACTCTTACATTTCTCTACTCCTAAGGACCATCCTGACAAGGACAAAGCAACTTTGAGCAGCTGTAGGTAGAGAGGTTTGGGGACTGAGCTCAGGGAAACGTTTGATGGCTGCTAATAACAAGCACCCCATTCAACACACTCACTCAGTTATTTTTGCTTGTCCTTCATCTAGTGCTTTTGATTCCGTTAAAGCCACTTAGCCTAAGTCAGGCTAGCTCAGTCCTGGTGATATAACTCAATACAAGCAATTCCTGTTTTTATAATAATTCACTGATTGCTGCAGGGACATTTGTTGCTGAAGAAAGAAGTGAACTCTGTTGACCAAAAGACACAAAAGATGATGATGGATACACAGGGCAGGGCTGTCCAGAGGGACTTGGAGCAAACTTCAGCATCTGTACTGAAAGCACACATGACAAGATAAAACAAGCATCAGCTTTTCTAGCCTGCGTGGCGTGAGTGTCTCAGCCTGAGTCCAGAAGGAGGTCACACTGGAGAGGCACGGCGTGACTTCAGTCTCCGTGCCTTTTCATGGTAACCAGGCTGCACTGTTTGCATTTCTCATTTTCCCTCTGGTAGAATTTTCTCACTGAGGGTTTTGACAATTTTCAAATAATGTCGTGGAGAGTATGACAACATGAAATGAGAGCAGAGCACAATGATGCAGTAAATAGTTACATTATTAGAAAGGCAGATGCTGGCATTGAAGCAGGGTTGTTGGCCTAAAGAAATAGATTAGGAGGGAGAAAACAGAAAAAAAAATCTGTGAGGTATCATCAGAAGCGGTCGATAGCATAATAATGTTCATATGCAAGAGAAGGTTTTCTGTGGCAATGTGAATCAACTCACATGCTAATATGACCAGTAAATAAACCATAGTAAGATTCTAGAATTGATATTACTACTCACCAGTACAACTCCAGGCCAGTGAATCATGTCTGGAATTGCATTTTGGACTCCAAGCCCTGGCACTGGATCCCAGTGGGCAAGACAAAGTCCTGCAGCAGCATCCGAGTCACACCCAGCCATCTACAGACAACTTAAATTCAGCATAAACCCCGTGCTTTGTATTTCCTGTTGGCTTATTCTTGTCACTTTTTAGAGTCCTCAGAGATATGCCCCAAGTGAGCACAGGGATACTGGTGAAATTTAGGATCTTTGAATGCACCTGAACTGAAATCAGCAAGAAGTGATTTGGAGCAAGGCTGCTGCAGCCTGGTCCCCTACTTAGGCAATGGAAAGGAACAGGGTCTCCTCACCATTCTGTGAAAGGCTGTCACCCATCCCTTGTGCCTCTTGTCCTCTCCCCAAATGACTGTAAACTGCAGCCTGAGCTCAGCCCATAAGCATAAACTTCAAGAGTATGTGAGGATTTTCCATGTGCCTCCAGGATCCAATGACCCATGCAACAACCTGAGAATCTGATATTCTGAGAACCTGGGCACCAGCAACTTCAGCATAAGGCTTGAGGTGTTTCAGATACCACCACCTTGAAAGTCAGCCCCAGCCGCATTGATGCAGGCACCCAAACTAACTGGGAACATTCATAAACACAAACCCACTTTAGCAAATGCAGGAGTGCTACTATAACCCCTGGTAAAGCCACAGTTAAGTGGGAGCTGCTTGTTCTCTCAGATAATGCAGTAAAGCAGAGCAGTCAAAGAGCAATTCAACAAGTCAGGAGCACTTGAGCTGCCAACATGTCAGCCAACTGTGCTTAAACAAAGTACAGTGTAGGTGTCCACCACTCTCTCCATTATGACTATTTCTCCACAGGAATGCAAAACTGAGAACAATTGTCATATGTTGTGTTCTTGTGCAAGGCAGGGCAGACTTGGCCATAAGCTGAGGCATCCCATCTGGGTACTCCCAAGATGATGTCAGTCTCTTGAAAGGTGTGGAAGCAATGACCTGGCCCTGTGCACAGCTACTGTGGCCAGCACAGCTCGGCTAGAGTGCAAATGGGACCCTGACCACATTTCCCAGTCAAGCTGCTTCCTTGGGAGCCTCTCAAGAAATTTGTACTGAGGCAAACAGGACACCTTTGGGATTTTCCACTGCTGCACAGACCCTGATACAAGGCAGGACCAATTAAAACTGCCGTGAGTACATAGAATGAGGAAGCTTTTTGTCACTGAACGATTTGCTGATGGGTCAAGTGCTAGCTCATTTGAATTTTTTCTGCCAGTTTGGAAATGAGAAGACCTAAATGTGACCTAGATATATCAAAGTCATTTCACAGAGGTTCACCAGTGGAATGGCACACATGATGATGGCAGAAGGTGAAGGTGAAAGGCACATCCAGGAATGGTGCGCTAAATCCTTTCTCACCTGGTGTGATTCACACAGGTAATCAGAAGGGTATGTGATGTGTCAAAATACTAGAGGCATCGGAGAAAGCAGAAGCAGGCAGGTAGATAAACTTTCATGTGGAGGATCCCAAACTGCTTTACTCATAAAGTCATTCTGAAGCTAGAGGTAAAATATACGGATCAAGACGAGATTTAAAGCTGAGATGGGACTTTGTGCCTTGGTAGAAAGAGCACTTCTAGAATGACTGGGCAACTCCAGTGTCAAAGGTGGCTAGGATCAGAGCAGTGCAATTAATGTGCAGAAGAGATTTGTGTATTGGTAGAGACTTTGGACAGAGCAAGTTCAGAGGACATTATTTGATAAAGAAGAAAATTCTGAACTAGCGGTGGAGTTTGATCAGAAGCTGGTGAAGGTAACAAGAGGATTAAAATTGATAGAACTTGGCAGCCTACATTACTTTGAAGAGGAGATTTAGGTACTAAGACACTTAGATGCTTTTCAAAAAAATACCTGCAACCGTGGATGCTTTCATTTAGCAAGTAATGGTGTAACCAGCTGCTGTCAAGAGTTATAACATAAAGAAGGATGTGTATGGAAGGCATCAACAAGTAAAAGGCTGGCTTTATATTTTGGGTGTAATTGATTGACTATAGCATCTACGAATGAAATCTACAGATTTACACCCTACTGGAGAGGCTAAGAGATGAGGAGGTAATGAATGAAGGACTATTAGAGCAATTTATTGTAGATGGGAGAAGAATCATCTCCAACAGAAATGAGAAAGGTCTGATTTAAGTGAGGATATGAACCACGTGATGAGTAGTGGGTCAGAGGCAGCAGCTTCTTGTGTGAGATATGAAGAAAGGCCAGAGCAATCATCTAAGAACACAGGATCCCACATCCTTTAAAAAGCATCTCCACTGTAGCTGTCTTAACCTAGGTGGGGCCCCTCAGAGCCCAGCAGGATTCTCCACTCCTGCGAGGATCTGTCCAGTCACAGTTCAGGCAAGCCCAAGCTTAAAATTGAACAGAGCTAAAGCAGAAAA